CCGCTGCCGCCGCCGCTGCCGCCTCCACCGCCGCCGCCTCCGCTGCCTCCACCGGCTTGGTTCCGATCACGCATATTCTCGCTGTTGTTTTCAACTGGCGCGTTCCCTCCTTCAGACTTCACATTCGGAGTCTCCGTTCCGGCCATCGAAGCGCCGTATCTCGTACACCGCAAGCGAGACCTCCTATTTCTCTCTCGATTGAAGCTGCTTCACTGCACGTACCCTGACGTTCGCTCGAGCCGACTGCGCACAACCGCGCACTATGGCGTCCAACGACGAGAAGAGAACCGTTGCGAGGAATCGTGGCAATTAAACATGGCAATTTCCCCTTCGCCAGTTGCGACGCAATGCATTATGGGAGATGCAACGGTGGGATTGGTTGGATGTCGATGCGCGGCGATTGGTGGGGTGATTGAATTAGCAGACTTGCCAACTTTTCCTACAGTATATGTTGCTGACTAGGGATTTTGTGCAATAGTCGCGTTCAGCAGACTGACAGACTCAATTGTTGCCGCGCGATTCCGTAAGCGCTCGCTGCTATTGATGTATTCCTTTAGATCATCCAATAGTATTGAGGCTGTTGCATGCGACCGATTTCTCATTTGTATTCTTCATTTCCTCATTTCTTCATTTCCTGAAATCATGCTATAACAAAAAAAAGATATAAAAAAAATGGAAGATTATATATACAGAGTATCCTATTTTAATTGCGCTCGAAGCAATATCTCGAAAGATACGTAAAATATGAAAAAATATTTTAAATGAAAGTGGAATTGTTTCAAAGGGGATGTATTTTAGTCATGTTTTTTTTTAGGAGACGTTGAAAAGACATAAAGTCATCATCTCGTGTACTTTTTAAAATGAAATTATGTAATTTTTTTAATATAATTTAATTCTTCTAGTTATTTTGCACATAAAAATATAATTAATGTAGCGAGATATAAGACCAATAGTTTACTATAGAGATATTTTATATCTATTAGAGATATAATAAAGATATTTTATATTTACTTTATTCTGATATATATATTGACATGAAATATTGAATATTTCATAAACTATTAATTTTTTTATAATACTACCTTAATATTCTTATGAACAGAATAATAAAAATATAGAATAATGAGATGAATCAATTAATGTAAAGACAAAATACAGTGTTTATACTATAAAAAATTGTTTGCCCATATATTTATGAACAGAATAATAAAATGAATCAAATATTGAGTTGTTCGGAAAGTTCATGCCGAAATTTAAATTTTAGTATACATTTATTAAATTAAAATTTTCTGCGTTTCAATTTTCCTTCAACATCGGCACTTTTCGGACGACCCAATAGTATAAAAAAAAATATATAGATACTTTATAAAAAAGATATTTAATTTTTATAAAATATTTTCTTCTTGTATATTTTCTTTATGCTAATTGATTCATCTTATTATTCTATTTATAAAAGTATTGAAGTACAATTATAAAAAAATTAATAGTTTATGAAATATTTAACACTTTATGTCAATATGTGCCAGAATAAAATACAAAATTATTACTTGATTATTGGTTTTTTAATATCTTTACGTTAATACTTTTTATACTTTTATATATGCAGAATAATTAGAGGAATCATATTATATAAAAAAAAAATCAAGCATCAAATGCAATTATATAAATTGCAATTGTATAAATGAATAATTGTATTTCAAAAAGTATAGGTGACCTTTATATCTTTTTGGCATTTCTATCTAATCTAAAAAAAAAAAATAACATAAGA